TGTGCTCTCCATTCCATAACAATACATGATACAGAAAAAGCACAGCAAACAGAGAAATATTAAGGAATGAAAAGGCAGCTGTCATATCAATGGTAATATAAAGATTAAGAACTGCATAGTATTTTTGAGTATTCAAATGCCAATTCAAAAACTAAAAAAAAACATTTGGGAGAAAACCCCATCTGGCCCTACATTAAATGTTAATTGGCTGTTATGAAAAGTAAATTGGATACATGGGTGAAGTCTGCTTGATCAGTTGTAATCCCTCTCTCAAATTTGTCTAGGAGGGGAAAACTTGCTAGTAATTGGCTGGTACACAATTATATTACTATGAGTTGTTCTTTATTATTCATTAATTCTAGATTATTTAACTTTAAAATAAGTTGTTTATTTCTACTCAGGCGTTGTAAAGATATTACCATATATTTTGTCTTCCTTCCAAAGAGCTCATGATTGCATACATTTTCTGCTGATAAGCAAGCCTCAATGCATGGTGCACAATCATCCAAAAACTTTCATGGTAAGACGGGATTTTGAAGCTGATTATCACAGACTTAATGCAGCTATTTTAACCTGTTTAAAATAAAATTGAGACAGATGAAATGACATTATGCGTAGAAATGCAGACATGGCCCATATTTCTGGTGGTCCTCAAACATTCATTATCCTAAAGATTTCTGAAGTCCTGCCTTAGGACAAAGGCAACTTTGGATAAATAACAAACCCCAAATAAGAATAGCTAAATGTTGCTGTTCTAGTCTAGAATTTGGCTGTTAAATTGTTCCAAATGTCTTGAAGTTGCTAAATGAAATAATTGAGAAAGTCAGTTAATGCAGTTAATATATGTGATCTGCCCTGTAACAAATATTATTCAGTTCAGCAAATAAAGTCATGGGAAGAGAGCTGTATACAGAGGCGATCATGTGAAACTATTTCTTAGCCTGGGGGACTCATTTGCAAAATTGTGTAAACAATACAACATTTGAAGTACTTTCTAGTGTTCTATAAAAATCTGGAATCTAAAAACATTAGCAATGATGATAAGGAGAATGTTAAGTTATTTAACGGAAAAACTATTAACTCTTTTATATATTCATTGAATTTGGAAATATGTAAATAAACTGGAAAAAAAGAGACAATGAGTTGGATCTTAGCCAAGTGAGTGATACTTGCTGAAATTAATTGAACCTAATAGTAATTTAATCTTAAAAAACTAAATGTTAACTCAAGCAGATTTTTTTGTATGTGAACACTGCTGTGAAAGTTATATGCACAAAAGTGGAAAGATTTTGAAATACCAACAATAGAGGAACAGTTGGTGAAGATGACAGTTAGCCGATAATGGTAAAATTTCCTTAAAGTAACGTAGCGACTCGAAATCTCTCAGAGACTTTTTGCTGAAAAAAGAAAATGAACTGATGATTTATGGATTTGATGATTAGAAAGATTATAGGAAAAAAGGAAACTTTTCCAGGCACCCCTTGAATTACTATAGTCACTTAGCACCCTTTAGAATTTATGACAGACCACCCCAAAACTACTCATGATAATGTTATTCATTCAATCCTATCTGACTCTTGGTGATTCTATGGGCCAGGTCTCACTGCATCTTCTGATCCTGCAGTACTTCTTTTGAGTTTTTCTATGCTGTGACTGGTGTCAGCTTTGATGGTCTCCAGCCAACACTAATTCATCCAAACATAATTGCTTTTTCCAGGGAATTCCCCCATATGATATGGCCAAAATAAGCGAGACGCAGTTTTGTGATTTTTCCTCCAAAAGCTACTAACACCCATTTCAAAGTTACGGCCTCTGCAGTACTTCCACCATTGTTCACCTTTACCATAAACCACAGAGATGCTGCAGAGCCCCCTCCCCCCACATATCTCTTCCCATCCCGTTTAGTCCCTGCAGGCATTGGTCTGCTCCCAACCCAGTCACTCAAGGGAGCCGAAATACAAGCAGAAGCATGCAAGACTGTAAGAGCTTGTAGCTTGAGGCCTTCTTCCCAGTCAGCCATTCAAGGAGCCTAAAGCCAGGCAGAAGATGCTACCAGTGTGCGCAGGACTATGAGAATTTGTAAGCCAAGGCCTTTTTCCCACTCAGCCACCCAGGGACCTGCAGGATTTAGTCTGCTCCTCAATCAGGTCCAGGGTCCAGCAGCATCCAACTTATCTTTGTTTTTTGCAGAAAGCCTCACCCAGCGAGGCTCAGCTTTTTTGCAGAGCTGCCTCATGGCAACCATGAACTATTCTGCAAGCATTTACTATTGTCATATAAGTGGCTTAGTTCTTTAAGGAGGCTTCACAAACTCCAAAACAAATGGAGTGACTGCAGTGTGGGAAGATGATCTTGGCTTACAAGCTCTTACAGTCCTACATGTTCCAGTAGCATCTGATGCCCAGCTTTAGGCTTCCTTGAATGGCTAAGTGGGGAGCAGGCTACAATACCATATCTGGGGGCTCAAAGAATAGGAAGTAGAGCATGGGATGCCCCAGAGGGTAGGGAAAGCCTTGGAAGAACCAAGACAGATGAACTTCCCTCACCCAAAGTATCTTGTGTTCCCCTTAATGATCTGTGTGTTCATTTAACAGCCACATCAGAGAGAGCAGGAGGTCATTAACTAAGATTATCTCATTTAACAGCTGTCACTACATGCATCCATAATGGACAGGCGCCATTATAATCATAAGTCGAGGACTACATGTATTATACAACCTTAAGAATGAAAAGGTAACATATAAATATATGTATAACTGCTGTTAAAAAGAGCAGAAGTTATTTCTTTCTTCTTTTTCCTTTTTCACTTTTCTCTTAGTTTTCCTTTTCTTGTCTTTAACTTAAAATTTGTATTTTTCTTCAAGTCATGTATTTCCCTATCTAATGAAATAGTAAAGATCAGATATAGGCTTGTCAGTATAGAGCAGGCATGTAAAACTTGCGACGTCACGCAATGTATCGGGATGGTTTTGCCATTGCCGGCAATAGGGTGGGTGCGGCTTCCGGATGACAGGCTGGCAGTTTGACACCCCTGGTATAGAGAGAATTAACAGCAATTAGAAATGTGAATTGGTATGATATTTTATACTAGTTTGCATATAATGAGCATAAGACTTTTAGCATTCATTTTGTACATGTGCAACATGCACAAACAAGTGACAGGGTTTATACTGCATTTCTATGATTGCCATCTTTTCTGTTTTAACTGCTCCAACACAGATGCTGTTCACAAATAGGCTCCCCTCCCAATCATTTTGCAAAATATGCTCTTCACTTCAAAAGATCTGGTGAGCTGCAAGACATCTGTCTGCTCCTTCCCCCTTCCCTCATGAAGGGATACAGTTGATCAAGTTAATGACACCTGATATATTTATCTAGATAAATTTAGGTTGCAAGAGATTCCCATTTCATAATTTGTATTATTTGCTGTTCAACATATTAAAATGAAAAGCATTTATACTTTCTCACTGAAGCTGTTAGGAAAAATTTATATGGTTTGAAAGGAAGGAATATTAAGAAAATCCAAATGTTTGCATTTTGTACCTTCCTACTATACAGAGGATAGTTTATAGATTAGTTCATTTTCTCAAGAGGGAATCCATATCTGGCCCAAGCTATTTATTGCAAGCTCAGCTGATTGAGATAACCTTCTGGCACATTCTGTTTCTTTTCCTACAACAGTCAGAGAGCTAATCTGTTTTTAAAAAAGCATGTAGTTAAAAATGTCATTGAATAAACCAGTAGTCTCTTGTTACACCCTGAAGCAAATGAATGTCATCATTTATTGATATGATTTACATAACTGCCTATCTCACAACTGATAGGAGTCTCTGGATGGTATACAAGAATTAATGCTATAATAGTAACATATATCCCATGACAACCAAGTTTAAAACTGTAAACCCCAAATGATAAATACATCACATCACCTGGAGAAACAAGAAAGCCCCAAATTCACCAAACAATAATAAAATCCAGTCCTAAGCATTTATTAATAAATCCCACTATGTTCAGTGTCATACTCTGCCAGGCAAGTGCTCATTAAATTATAATTTTGAATCGCGCCCTTGAACAGATTTACTGCTAAATACCGCAATTCGATAATCATAGTATCCACCTTTTGGTTAAAGCATAAATTTTTGTTTTTGACTGTTCAGAATTTAAGGAACTATCATGGATACCTTTGCAAAATGGTTGCTATGGTAAATATGTCGTTTCTAATCCCAATAATTAAACAATAGAAATATCTTTTCTTCCTGCCCCTATCTTCCAGGCTGCTGAAACAAGGCACCCAAATGGATAAAGTTTGAGCTCGTCTCACTCAGACTAATAAAATGATGGCAGTGGCAGTGACATAATTTGGGGATTGTTTGCCAAAATGTTATTGCTTGCTTTAAAAAAGATAGGGGATCTTCAAGCGACGTAAAGCACCGTCAACGACTACGGATGATTTTTAAGAACTCAACAGTATTTTAGTTTCCATACGTGATTTTTCCACTTGGATTGAGCACGTGGACCACCCCGGATACAGCGGGATAGAAAGCAATTAAAACACATCAAGGCTTTCTAGAGCAGAAGAGCGCAATGGCGGATTCGTGCCAAACAACGATACCACGAAATGAGTCTCTCCCTTCTTTATTTAGGCTCCTTCGGGTCCGTTCTTCAAGCAACTGCGTATCTACCAACAGTCGCCCCAGATACAGTACTGTATCCAAGTCTGAGGGACTAAACACGGGCGGAAGTGCTTCTGCCCTTATTTCATCTCTTTCCCTCCTCCTCCTAGTCTTCTGGGAATTCTAACTTTCCTATTGGTCAATACAGACAATACTCTCCCATCCCTAATAACCCTCCACCCAATCAGCACACTTCTCCTTTATTAGGCTTCCCCCACCCCCTAGCAGCAGTTAAGGAGGCCGCCATTTCTTTTTCATCCTGGCTTCGCGGAACAGCGGGCCGAATTTTTTCATTGGTCTGTTCAATATTCTCCACCCCTTCTCCGATGACAGGCTCGGGGAGCAGCGTAGGCGCTGCCAATCAGCGCGTATCTACAGGGTGTCGACTGGGCTATCAGCAACCGCGATAGCGCTGGGGGCCCGAGGTTGGAGGGAGTCGGAAGTATCTGTGTGGGGGCATCGCTATCACCATGGGGGCCGTGCTCGGGATCTGCTCTTTGGCCAGTTGGGTGAGTCCGGGGGGTGGGGGGTGGAACGGGGTCAGGCCGATCAGACTGAGATGGATTCCAGGCCAGATCGGGTGGATCGCGCTAGTGCGGACCTGGATTCCAGCACCAGGAGAAAATGAAAGACAAACATCCGTAGTTTTGTATCCTACAAGGGAGGGAAGCCTGCTGTAGTTTCTTATGGAAAATCAGGCAACTCGGATATCCCGATAATTACTCCAGATCTGGGGGCGGTATATGTCTAATGCAGGGTACATAAACAAGGGGGCGGGGTCTTCGATTCTCTTTTGCGGTCTCCGCCTAGAGACAGACGAGACCGTGATGTCCAATAGGTTGTAATCCTAAACCTGGGAGTGAACCTTATTCGAATAAGCATGAATTCTTCCAAGAATTGTAAAAACAAGGCATTTGATCAAACTAGAAACGTCTTATTAAACAATTTAAACTCATGGAACCAGAGATTGGGCGTTATATCAGAAAGATAAAAGCCCCACCAAGTTGTGAAAACGTACGTGCTTGTTTCATGTAAATATAACTGTTTTATGATGGTAGTAAACATTGGATGCCTGTACTTTGATTTTGTTCAGTGGATTATTATGGCCATGAGAGGGGAGATTGGGTCATTCTTTCATTTCCTTTGTCCGCTTCCTGTGGCTTGTGATTTAATCTCTAAGAATGATACTTATGTCTCAGCCAGGAAATGGCTGCTGAGTCATAGCCTTTTGAGTGTGGTAGACAGCATGGCCACATAATAATAACCAAGTGTTACTGGAGTCAACGCAGTGTTTCTAACCCTTTAACTTAGCCTTCTTTCTTTATCCAGTGAATTATTCTAAACAGGTTTAGAAGATCATCCTTATTCCCTAAAATAATTTGGAACCTTGGATGTTTGTGCAGGCTGTTGATGAGAAAGATAGTACATCTGTTCATTTCCACTGGCTTGCAAGCATTTTGAACAAAAGGTTACAATGAAGACTAACAAAAGGGAATAACTCTTTAAAGAAGGCAGAGATTGAAAAGGAAACAAAGGCTGCTTTATTATTTCTGCTCTTCAGAGAGATATTTCACATTAAAATGCTTGAGCATCAGGGGATGCTAAAAGCTTCCACTTGAGTGCCTCTGGATTGTTTGCAGTTTGAATTTGAACAGAAGTAAGACTTATTTAAAGTACAAAGACCTGTATTATTTGGCTGGTACAGATTTTACTACAATAAAATATAGTATTTATGTTGTGAATTGCTAAACTTTCAAAAACATGCGAAGTTATCAACACTGATTTACATAGTTCCATCCATTCTATACAACCATTGAAAAATTAAAGTTTTTCTATTATTCAGTGTTGATATTTACATTTAATCTTCACTTGTCATCCTTTCAGTATAGCAATATTTTTCTTTATCTGACACTCTTAATTTAGTTGGCCCTTTAATAATATGGAGTTGGTTATTGCCCAGAATTGATACAGATTAGGCAAAGTGCTCAACAGTGTTCCAGAATGAGCATACAAATTGTAGGTGTGAATTAAGAGATGGAGCATGTGCAATTCACACATTAAACAAAGAACATCATTTCTACTACATTTTACATTGCAGCAGTTCAGTAGGGCTGACTAGAGTCAATCCTATAGAGAACACTAACCCTAAGAAAGTAAAAAATATATCACCAGAAGTAAATTTAATTAACTTCAAGTTAAGATAAATATATAACATCTCATTAAGATGGCTACCTGCAGAGAATCTGTATGATTCATTCATTTGGCTTTACTTCTGACAACTTTCTTTCAGTATAAGTATTTTGCAGTTCTTTAGGGTGTGCTGATGTGTTATTTATGCTAATCAGAGTGTTAAACTTGTATTGGACTGCAATATGTTAGAAATTAGTTCCCTCCTAGTTATAAGATGTTTCTAAATTGGCTTTTCTAATTTGGCATTCAGTGTTACAATGCATTTCACATGGTGGGTGCCCTAGTCACATGTGGCCAATAAATATCTTTGAAAGGATGTATAGTACTGCTAATACTTAAGATTAAATATTCTCATTTATTCCTCTTTTTTATAGATTCCATGCCTTTGCAGTGGTGCATCATGTTTATTATGTCGCTGTTGTCCTAACAGCAAGAATTCTACAGTGACTCGGCTCATCTATGCTTTCCTTCTTCTTCTTAGTACTCTTGTTGCGTGCATCATGCTGGCACCAGGAATGGAGAAACATCTCAAAAAGGTACTGATGTTTTAAAATCTTGCTTATAACACACATCATTGGACACTGATTTCACTTAAGATAGAGGCACACTCAAAGCTGAAAGAAAAAACGTGGAATTTTTGTCAAATTATTAATAAGGATATTGTTTTATTAGGTGCAATAAGTCTCCAGTCCAGACTAATTTGAAAGATAAGCATTTCAAGTTTAAGCTACAGAACTTGGTAGAATTTTTGCCAAGTTTATCTGTTTCTTAGGCATCGTGATTTCAAAATCTGGTTCCTTTTAGGGGCAAGCAAGCATTTCTTTTTATTTTTTATTTTAGTCAGAATTTTGTGGATTATATATTTCTGAAATGATAGAGAGGAATGGGCTCCATACAATTAACCTTGGTCTCTTCATGGTCCCATAATCTCCATATATATCAATATCTATATAATACATAATGCACACATACACATATATACATATTTGGTTAATTTTTCCTCTTAACAATATCTGATAATATATTGAACCCGAATGCTTTTGGAAGAACTGGGATTTATTCCAGATTATTTTCCTCTCCATGAACTCGGAAGTTTATTAAACATTGAGCCCTAACATGAACAAACTGAGTTGACTTGGTCTGTACCAGCATTAAGTCCAGAATTGGAATCTGCAGCAAATCAAATATTTTTATCTCCTTGGAATTGTAAATAATTGCAGAGTCTTCATGGGCTCAGGTTAATGTACTGGGAATGCTTATACTACAGGAGCATTGTTACACAGCAGCTATTTTAGGATAGAATGAGCTAGCAGATCCTGGCATTCTGGGTGCAGGTAGCCTTCCACTTGAGCTTGAATGACAGTTGTAAGCTGTTGTAATTAAGTGGGTCATATTTTGTATTTTTTATGGTAGTCATTAAGCAAACACAGTCATTACATGAGTTCTGCAGCCATTAAGCAAATTTATTTTACCAACTAAGCATATTTTTGCCAGAAACTGGATGTTAACTCAAAACTGGCCAAACTCTTAAATTTCAGTTATGTGATTGTGGGATGCTGCAAATGGCAGTAATAGTGAAGCAGGTGCTAAGTGTTTAAAACGTGATCACATGAGCAGCTGGGGGTATGTACAATATTGTATCTTCAAAATTAAATTGTAACTAGCTTTGGCGGGCCATTGTAACTTCGAACTGTCACTAAGTGACCACTTGTAAGTTGAGGACTATCTATAGATGGTCAGCTTGATAACTTTTGTCTTAACCTGGAGTGGTACAAAAGAATAACTTATAAACCATAGGTTTTCATCATCTGTAAGAATAGGATTTGAGGAAAATGAATGTTCTGTATAATCTACTTGTATATAGTAACGTTTTTGAATTTATTGTTCTCTTTCAGATTCCTGGTTTTTGTGATGGCTTTGATTGTGAAGCTTTGGTTGGATATAGAGCTGTCTATCGAGTCAGTTTTGCTATGGCTGTGTTTTTCTGCCTCTTTGCCTTACTTATGATACAGGTGAAATCGAGTAAAGACCCACGGGCTGCCATCCACAATGGGTGAGTTAGATGGGAAATGGAGACTAATCCTTTATTTATTTTGCCCATAGCCTGAAATAGTAAATTTTCAAAAATGAATGGGTTTAACTCAGATATCAAATCAGGAAAGAGTCATTGTTTCAAGCATGAAATGTGAATAAATACATGCCCATGAAATGAAATAGAATAATGATTAATTTCAGTTTATATAATTTCAGATATAAATTTAACAGGAGAGGGTAACCTGGTAATCTCTACATATTGCAAATAACAGTCCCTTATTCTTGGCTATATTGGTAGTGTGATTGCTGTATGTTTAGTAAGTTGCTTAAAGTCTTAGGGATTATGGTGGTATATAAATAAATACGTCTAAATTTTGGCTCATTTAATCAGGGCATAGATATTAAAAACTGCCTCTTATTAATATAGTCCTCCTTCAAATAAAAATCATCAGTGAGACTTATTCCTATAGCCAGATGCATTCCATTAGAAATATTTACTTTTGTTAGCTTAATATAGGCTGAGAAATAATTCTCAATTGTCTTCTTTATTTCTCAATAGATTTTGGTTCTTCAAAGTAGCTGCAGTTGTTGGAATCATGGTTGGGGCATTTTATATTCCAGAAGGGCCTTTCACAACAGGCAAGTGTGCATGGATCAGAAAATGTCATCATTTATTAAACTATAATGGTAGTCAGTAAGAATTATTTTTCAAAATGTCAAATAATACCCAGTGAATGAAATGCTTATATAGACAAAGCTGTTGATAGTCTAAGGAAGAATTACTAGAGGGGGATTTGGATGAATGTGTGCTACATGGTGGTTGGTACTCAATGATACATCAAGCTATTAGAATCATAATGGCTTCAAGGAAGAGAGACATCTAATAGAAAACCACTCATTTGCTTTCATCTATATAGGAACACCCTCTGTACATATATTTTCATGATAATCTACCCTAAGAAAGCAAAAGTAAATGTTGCACTGGGAGACAAGCTCCAAACTCTATTAGGCTACAAAACTTGGCTTCCAGAGTGATTGTGAGAGAAAGGGGGTGATGTGAGCAAGGTATAATTTTCTTCTTGAGGTTTTTTGTTTTTAGAATTGTGCTTCCTCTTTCTTTGTAAGATGATCAGACTTTAGGATTACTACTCCACTAGTATGTTATCACTCTTAAGACAGGGTGTCAAACTGCCAGCCCACGGGCCAGTTGCATCATGCAGAGGCCGTGCCCACCACAGCTCCGGCAATGCAAAAAAAATAAATAAATATTGTGATACGTTGTAACATGTCACGTGACGCGGTAAGTTTGACACCCGTGCTCTAAGAGATACATTAGAAGTGCAAATACTATGCAAATATATCCTCTGCATTGTGTACAATGCAATTTGCCATCCTAGGTTTTCTTCAAATGTATTAGATATTTATCCCATCTTTATTTTTTATTTGCTCAAGGCATACATGCTTAATGTTCCCATGTCCTATTTTCCTCAACAATAACCTGGTGGGGTGGGATGGCAAAGAGTGACTAGCTCAAAGTTACCAAGCCAGCTTTCATGTCTAAGAGAGGACTAGAATTTGTGCTTCCTGGTTTCTAGGCCAGCAGCTTTGCTACTGCAGGCAGTGGCTCTCCATTTATCTTCAAATCCATATTAGAGTTCAACTCTGATCATTCTCAAGTAGGATGGCTTATTCTTAAATGCAGTTCAAAGCAGTCCTGTGCTGCATGCACTTGAATTTCTTTTAAAAATTTGCTCATGAATTGTTTTAAATGGATTCTTACCTGATCTGTAAATTCCCTGGTACAGCACCAACCAGAAAGACCTTATGTATCGTCTTCCTAGCACTAAAATAGCTTCATGAGTTTTAAAAGGCGTACAAATTAAGTATATACAGTATATGCATGAAGATAATTATTGATCAGCTTTCTAGCTTTCTTTCTCTATTTGGGTTATAGCCCCATCATTCACAGCCCTGTTCAGTATACCATCTGGAAGGCAATTATTCTCTCTGGCTCCATTGAGGTACATTTACTCAGATACTGCCATGATGGTAACTTATTCTTTTTATTTATTTCTAGTACTATTTGCTTTTGGAATTGGGGGTGCTTTCCTCTTCATTCTCATCCAACTGCTGCTGCTTGTGGATTTTGCTCATTCCTGGAATGATTCCTGGGTTGAACGAATGGAAGAGGGAAATTCCAGGTGCTGGTATGCTGGTAAGTGTCATTTAGCTGATGAATAACAAAATGAAGCAGCAGCTTTAATACATACTGCTTTGGGCTTCTCTTTCCTTGGGCAATTTATTGACTGTATTTAGAGCTATCTATTACAGTGTTTTTTATACTTGGCAACGCTTAAGACATGTGGACTTTAACAGAATTTTCAGCCTATTGGCTGGGGATTTCTGGGAGCTAAAGGTCACAAATCTTAAAAAATGGCCAAGTTTGAAAAACTGGACTTACAAAAAAAAAAGGATTGTATTAAAAAATGCCAAAATTATTCACCTGAAGACATAATTATAGCAAACAATGTTTGTATACTAAGAATGTTCTTAAGAACTGAGTATAGATTTTTTTCCCATTTGCATCCAGCTTTTTGGATATTCTGCTCATCCTTGAGCAGATTAGTTTTACTATTCATTTTTCTTCCTGATTGTATGAGATAATGTTAAAGAGACTGCTGTGGTTGCCAAATGCAGTGAGGATTAAGTGTGAATTCATATTGAAAAAGTGCAAAACTAGCCACTACAAGCAAACTTTTGCTTTAGATGGTAGTATTATGCACACTTAATAACAATAACAATAATAATAGAGTTGGAAAGGACCTTGGAGGTCTTCTAGTCCAACCCCCTGCTCAGGTAGAAAACCCTATATCATTTCTGACAAATGGTTGTCCAGTATCTTCTTAAAAATTTCCAGTGTTGGAGCATTCACAACTTCTGAAGGCAGGTTGTTCCACTGATTAATTGTTCTAATTGGCAGGAAATTTTTCCTTAGTTCGAGGTTACTTCCCTCTTTGATTAGTTTCCATCCATTACTTCTTGTCCAGCCTTCAGATGCTTTGGAAAATAGCTTGACTCCCTCTTCTTTGTGGCAACCCCTGAGATATTGGAACACTGCTATCATGTCCCCCCTCATCCTTCTCTTCATTAAACTAAACATACCTAATTCCAGCAACTGTTCCTTATATGTTTTAGCCTCCAGTCCCCTAATCATCTTTGTTGCTCTTCTCTCTACTCTTTCTAGAGTCTCAACATCTTTTTTACATTGTGGTGACTAAGACTGAATGCAGTATTCCAAGTGTGGCCTTACCAAGGCATTGTAAAGTAGTATTAACACTTCATGTGATCTTAATTCTATCCATCTGTTAATGCAGCCTAGCACTGTTGGCTTTTTTGGCAGCTGCAGCACACTGCCTATCAAGCACACTTGATAGGATAAAATGATGCTCTCTGTGAAGGAGAAAACTAGGATCTTCCAAACATGAGAAGAGTTATTTTCACAAATATGTTGCATTTTTAAACAATATTATTGGTCCAGTTTAGCACTTGAGTACTTCTAACAGGGATCTGCTTGTTTTCTTCAGCTCTGCTGTCATGCACCAGCTTGAACTACATCCTATCTTTCATTGCCGTTGTACTCTTCTATGTCTTCTACACAAAACCAGATGGCTGTATTGAGAACAAGTTCTTCATCAGCTTTAATATGATAGCATGCATTGCTATATCTATCATATCAATCCTTCCCAAAGTCCAGGTATGATGATGAAGCAGTGCTTTCAAATGAACAAACTTAGTTGACTTATTTTGCTTTAGGTGTTATATTGGTGGGTTGTATATTTTGCAAATGCTTCTAAGAATAAATCAGTGGGTAAAGGAACATAAATTATTTTGAAGGATGTCTGTTGGTTCTTTTTAAGTACTAAGCATATTTGGGGACGTGTAGAACAGTTTGGATGTGTTTCCCTCTTCGGAATGGTGAAAATTACATTCTGAATTACTGACAGTTTGGTTGTGTGGTTGATGAGTGTTCTAGAGCAGGGGTGTTAAACTGCCGGCCCGCGGGCTGGTTTCATCATATTGGAGCCACGCCCACCCCAGTGCCGGCAATGGCAAAAAAGCTCCGATACATCGTGCGACGTCATGTGACGTCGTGAGTTTGACATGCCTGTTCTAGAGGCTGCAAAAAAAAAGAGATGAGGACAGTTGTGCCCCAGATAATTTTTACGCCTCTAACAATGCTTAATGCTGAATAAAAGTAGTTCTTGACTTATGGCTGGTCACTTAGACCACGAAAAGGTACTCACGACCCAATTTCAAAGTTACAATGGCTGCATACATCCTGCAGTCATGTGATCTCATTCTGGGCATTTGGCAGCTGACTCACATTTATGACTATGTACAGCATCCTGCAGTCACAATTTTCAATATTTTTTGCTGGTTTCTGGTATTTACTTCCAATTATTGATAAAAAAACGCCCATTGGATAAAATGGATCATCTTGACAACTACCACAAAAAATGCTGTAAAATCAGGTCTGTTCACATATTTCCCGATTTACAACTATAATTCCAGGCTCAATTATGGTTGTAAGGCTACCTGTAGCCTAACATTGTAGCAAAATGAAGCATTTTTAGCTATAGCTTTTAACCATAAACCTTTATGATTTAAATCATAAAATTTATATTATTAACAATTACTTGTCTCAATTAGGAACATCAACCTCATTCTGGTCTTCTCCAGTCCTCTGTGATTACGCTCTATACCATGTACCTCACATGGTCAGCCATGTCTAATGAGCCTGGTAAGCTATCAATACAAATAGTATTTCAACTGTTTTCTTTAGAAACACATGAATTACTTAAAAAATATCCTGCAAACACTTTGTTGTGGAGAGACTCCATTGTAACAAATGTCAAATCCTTAGGTTACTCAACAACAGCTCTTTAGTTATTCTCAGAACAGTATTATGTGTGTGTGTGTGTGCACGCGCGCGCGCGTTGCATGCATGCATGCATGCATGCATGTATGTTTTCTCTTTAAAATGTTTCTTTTTAGACCGCCACTGTAACCCAAGCCTTCTGAACATCATCAGCCAAATATCTGAACCTACTTCCATCCCGTTGAATGCAACTGTTATTCCTACTCCTATACCAGAAAAATCACCTCAGTGGTGGGATGCACAGAGCATTGTTGGACTTACTATCTTTGTAGTTTGTCTCCTGTATTCCAGGTAAGATACAAGTTTTATGTTTTCTGAATTATAAGCAATTCTAACATGATCTGTTATTTACTATATTATATTTGAATGTATGGAATAGAAGCTTTCTTTCTCTTTAAATCAAGGGACATTAGTTTTGATTTAAGTGGTGTTAATAACGTGATTAAAAATACTTTGCCATGTCTTCTAATTGTAGTAAGATTTGTACTTATTAAATTCTTTCAAGTTAATTAACTAAATACTAGTTTTAAAATTCAACTTATTTTAGTTGGAATTTGACCATTGATCTTGATATGAAAAAGATCCTTGTTGTTTTTATAAGCTTCACCAATGGTCCAGTTTTATTCTGCATCAGACTCTTGTACCTGTGGCATCCTCTAGGGGTGGAGACTTCTAGACTTTTCAGCAACAGTCATGCTGAATTGGTGTTGAGAGCTATATAAATAAAAAGAAACTCATTGCTAGAAATGAAATCCATACAACTAAAGGATACCCAAGTTGGATAAAGTGGTCTAATGAGCTCAGAAGAACTTGCATAACATTTTCAATTATCTTTGTTCTGAAATAGCTTAGATATTTGGTCTCAATTAGTATTAACAGCATTTTTTTATTCATGCCTGTTCAAAGTCAACAGGTGACTCTGTTAAGTAATCAGAATAAAAAAGATATAAAGCAAGTTAACAATAGCAATCACAGCAATCCAACAAAAAGGAAAAAAAATACCGTTAGTACTGGAAAATCTAATCAACCAATAGTCAGATCTTAATGATCTATGGAATACCAGAATCGTTGAAAACACTAAAATTTTGGGGAAGGGAATATTATTTCAAAGAAGGAGCAATAACTGGGGAAGCTTTCTCGCAAGGTGCTTATAAATGTCATTCCATAAAGGCAGAGATCCTGAGGGGAACCCAATCTCTTAGAGCTTATTGGATGGGTAAAAACCTCTGATAAAAGACAGACCTGGTCCTGAGTCAGGAAAAACATGAGGTGTGATAACCAGCTTGAAGTGTGTGTGGAAATGAGTTGGTATTTGGTGCAGCTCATGAAGTAATGAAGTACATAGCTAAACTGACTAGTATCTAAACCATCCAGCTGCTGCATTCGGAACCATTTGCAACATATGAAGCTCAAGGGCAGTCCCAATGCAGACAGCTTTGCGATAGGCTGAATGAGAAGTAAGCAGGGCAAGAGTGACTGAATAGAGTCTTCTGATTCAGGAATGGCCATGGCTGGTGCACAGTTTGCATCTGTGCAAAAGTCTACTTAGCCCCAGTGGTTCAAACGTGAACTCTGAATCAGGAGGACTCCCAGATTATTGACCATCTCTGAACAAGGAAGCGTGATCAAAATTGGCGTATTACTGGAATCGGACGATTTCAGAATTAAGGAACTCTGTTTTGCTGCTCGGTCTTATTATTATAATAAGATCCGGTCTTATTATTATTTTGCCTCCAAAAGAGGTACCAGGTCTTATTTTCGGGGGGGGGGGTGTCTTTTCCACACAGCTCTGCCCATCCGGCCCACTTCTTTTGTGGCTAAAGGAGCAGCTTCATTCTGCAGCTAAGAATGAAGCTACGGCCTGCATTTTGCAGTCAAAGGCCTTCCAGAAAGGCCTCTGACTGAAATGCAGGCCTGGGGATGCTGGAGAAGTGGGCCAGCGAGGAGAGGCCTGGCTGCAAGGTAAGTGGGTGCAAGGCACATGGGACCGCTCCACACCCCAACCCCAGCTTGATTTTTAGGTGTGTGCCTCGCCCCTAAACTAGGGCTTATTTTTGCAGTAGGGCTTATATTAGGCCCACCCTCAAAAATCAAGCTAGGGCTTATTTTCGGGGTAGGTCTTTCGGGGAAACATGGTAGGATTAAGCTTGAGCCTTTGTCCCTATCCAGTATAGCCTGCAGGTACTGAACCTCATTTCCTGTTCAGCCTGCTGCAACTGAAATGTATATTATACATCTGATTATATTATATAAATTATCTGTGTTCCAGATAAATTCTCCCAGGAATTTAATGTAGATATGAAATGGGAGAATCTAGTCCTGTTACAACAGAGAGACCAAGACTTGATGTCTCACTCCTCACACGGAATCAAACTGCTCCCAAGAAAGGAGAACCCTGTTTATAACAGTGCCCGGCACTTTCAGCCATACAGATGATATAGAACAGGCATGTCAAACTGGTGACATCACGTAACGTCGTGCGATGTTTTGGGACTTTTCCCCCATTGCCAGCAATGGGCTGGGCGCAGTTTCGGCATGACGCATCTGGCCCATGGGCCGGCAGTTTGACATGCCTGATATAGAAAAATGTCATGACTGATGCCATGATTGATTTTAGGGAGCCAAGAGATCAAGCAAGAGCATGAAGTTGCATTTCTGCATCTCAATCTTGTCAGAGGCCAATGTGACTGTGGTCTTAATTTTATACCCAGACCTAAAACCAGGCTGAAAAAGTCCAGTCAATCTGTTTCCTGCAGAACTTTGATTCAGACCCACTATTTTGTCAACAACCTTCCTCATGTAGGTTAGAGACAGGTTGAATAATTGCTGGGTTGGAATGATGGTTTCTTGAGAAGGGACATATAATTGCTTCCTTTTAACTACATGCTTTGTTTTCAGAACCAACAGTAGCTGGTTCATAGAATTGAATAACGCTGGACAGCTGTAATTGGTTAAAAGTGTCTTTTTTATAAGCTAGATTTTTGAAGCCTCCTTTCTTGTTTTGCAGCATCCGATCTTCTAACAACAGCCAAGTGAACAAGTTGACTCTGTCTGTCAGTGACAGTGTCATTCTGGATGATACACCAAATACAGCTGATGTAGAAGATGGAGAAGTCCGCAGAGTTTTTGACAATGAAAAGGATAGTGTCCAGTATAACTATAGCGTCTTCCACTTCATGCTAACTCTCGCTTCCCTGTACATAATGATGACTCTTACTAATTGGTATAGGTGAGTATATTCTTTACAGCAATTTTTATCAAAAACCTTGTTGCTGTAGATAACTAACTCAATATGGAATTCTTTAAATCAGTGGTTCTCAACCTTTTTAATGCCGCAACCCCCAACTGGTCGTAAGTCGAGGACTACTCAACCGGTCGTAAGTCGAGGACTACTCAACTGGTGCAGCACCGTTTGCAGAATGGGACTTTTGGTGGGCTCAGCAGGTCAGACACAGCCTGGACAATTCCTATTGGCTTTTGAAAGCCAATAGAATTAGACTCTATTCAAGAGAGTCTATTCTATTGGCTTTCAAAAGCCAATAGAATAAAAGGGAGTAGCACAGCTAAGGAAAAGGGGGAAAAAATGGCGGACTGCCTTGTTTGGCGACCCCCGTGAAATGGTCATTCGACCCCAAGTGAAGTCCCGACCCACAGGTTGAGAACCGCTGATTTAAATATTAAGAACAATTTTGGTTTTTTTTTTAAATTAGAAAGAGTTAATTTTTGCACAAAACTAAAGTTAGGATTCACCTTGTGACATTGAATAAAATTTTCTTCTGTATAGACTGGGAAAGATGTAAACATTATTTCTGAATAATACTTCTGTAATTAACCCCAAATATTTGGCAAGCATACCAAATGTGTATAATTCAGTGATGCAATAAATTAGCTGAAGACTTTCTACCAGTTGATTGAGGCATATACTATTTTTATTAATTTTACAGTCCTGATGCTGAAACTAAAACACTGAAAAGCAAATGGCCAGCTGTCTGGGTGAAGATCTCCTCAAGCTGGGTTTGTCTTCTTCTTTATATCTGGACTTTAATGGCACCCATGATTCTTACCAATCGAGACTTCAGTTAAGTGGTAACTTCTGTGAAAGCATGGAGATATGACATTCTGCTCTGCTGAAAGCCAAAAGTTATGTATTGCTTCGTGGACCTAAGGCTCCGGGCATCATTCCTGCAACAGGCAGATAAATAGAAATCTAACTTGTTTAATGCTTAATGCAGAATCTAAGTGCTGTACATATTAATGTGTTAAATTCAAAGCTAGCATTCCTGTTTTCTACTACAGCTGTGCTGTTAAAGGATTTCTTAAAAAGCTTGTGTAAACATTATCTCTATTGGAAGTATGAATGAAAAATAATATATTCTAAAGTTGTTCTGATATTTCACTGTATGGAAATGAGTACCATTGCTGCATTGCTCTACATTCCATTTCAGAAAAAAAGTATCTGATGGAGCTTTGAATAATGGATAAAGTGTTTTTCTTAACAGAGAATAGCATGCTAATGTAATATACCAAGCCTATAACTGGCAACTTTTGGGATCATTGTAGAAAACAAATGTTATAGGAACCCTGCATACTGCTAAACTTTTAATGTTTTACCGATTAGTTATCTGATTTACTTTCAACACATTAAACAAGCAATGTTTGTTAAACCTAGTATATCATACCACTCAGTTTGACATTATTTGCACTATAAATATGTTTTATTAAAACTAAATTTTTAGTGTTAGTTTTGTTGGCTGGTTGTTTCGGCAGTTCTGCATATGATTATCATCTAGCCCAAGCAGTGAAGTTGGTCTATATCTGAAAGCAAGTCATCATATAACTTATTTGTGGTGTTAGGCAAAGAACCTTCATGCAGGCTCTTGATTCATATGTTCATATTATAATATAAAAGCTTAATTGGCACAAGCACATAAACTACATGCTTAGTTTTTAGCCTGTGATTATACATACACTTTTGCTCAGAGAGATATCTGTGTTCAACTGATTTCCTATTCTTAGTTGCAGTCCCCTATGAGAGTGCCCATCATTTTGAGAACTTCAACATGTAGGAAAGCAAGAGGCAGCTTGAAAAACACGTAGCTCTTCACAAATTGCATTTTTCATTTCAGATCTAATTCAGTTTTATATATTTTCCTTTACAGTCTTATAAACGTATACTAGATTAGACTTTAGTAGAGCTGGACAGTCGCTTCAACAATATGTTAAATTTTAAATTTACCGACAAAGAATTAAAGGGAGACTAGTATAGCTATTTGAAGTCTCCCTTTAATTCTTTGTCGGTAAATTTAAAATTCAACACACAAATAGTCTGTTGCAGAAGCAACTGCCTGTGAAGGCTCCCTAGATTGGGGCTGAAAGGTGAAAGCGGAAGGAGTATGCTCTGTCCATATTTGGGATAGACCAGGCTGCCCTGATAAGACTGGGCTCACTGGAAAACGCTTCAATGACATAAAACATTGAAACAGCCATGTTTATATATTATTTTAATATTAATAAGGTTTAATATCCATTCATGCAGACAGACTGTTCATTTTATAAAGTGCAGTATAAAAATAAATTCTCAAGGTATATACTCTAATTCCGTACAGAGAGAGAATAAAACAGACCCATGAACAAAACTGCAAAACTTAGCCATAGAAAACAAAAGCACCTCAATTATCCTCTGGAAAAATTATTACCATTTTTCTACTTCAGATACAGATTAACAAAGGCAATTTGACATTTCTAATGAATTGCCAATGTCTTTTACTTAAGGCTTGTTATTCTTGCACCACATCTGCTTGGATTTTGTTTATAGAAGAACTGATATTAACAAAAAATCCCTACAACCAAGTTGTCAGACAATATGCATATTAACTACTTACTTTACTTTTAAACCATATATGCTTAACTATAGGCACAACATCAATGTCTTAGTTCTGTCAGCACTTTTTCTAAAACCAATTCTACAAATGAATAAGATAACAAAAGCATGGAGGGCAATTTAGGCTACGCATCTTAGAGTTAAATAATAGCCACAAATTTACAAAACCTAGTATTCCAATATATCTTGGCAAAGAGATGTGGTTTACCAATAAAATGTTTAGTACAAGGGAGGCAAACATTGAATTGATATTCAGTTATTATTTAAATAAGAGTTCTTAAGATAGTTACAAAAAAATTAAAACACTGTAGGGAAAAAAAGAACCATTGCATTTTAACTTTTTATATCATCATCATTCATCGTCATTTGAGACTGGCTTCTCATTTAAGGGGGAAAAATAGACTGGGTAAAGCGTACTTTAGAATAGAAATTATAAGCTTCCACACTTTGCTAAAGAAAAAACTTTTTTCCTGACATGTTACACTGATTTCTAAAACATTTTATAATTCAGATTAGTTCCTTTATAAATATGTTTCAATTTCAGTTGCCAAAGCTTGGCAGCTTCGATTTTTCTGCATAAAGATTACTTCCAATAAGGAAAAGAACATCCATTATCATTTTAACATATACTTCTCATACCTAAATTTGACCAGCACTTTCCTACAAGAATACGTAAGCAGAAAAATTATATCTTGTGCCTTCTATATCTTTAAACTTCTTTCCCTATGTGTCTGTAGGGGAAAAAAACACTAATGTGTATATAAATTTAGCAAGACAAGAGCGATGGGTAGCAGCGTAGAAATCAATTTCACGTATGCTTAGATAGCTATAATACCACACTGGGTTTGTATATTTAGAACTCTAATTGAAGCACAGTCACATGACTAAACTGCTTCATTTTTTGGCAATAGAGAAGCAAGTCGCTAATTTAGAAAAACTAAAAATAAATACATTTGGCACTGGCAATAACAAGATCTACAGAGAACGTAATATTTACAGTAAGCACCAACTTTTTGGTCTTACTTGGCACTAGGCAAGAGCCTCCGTTATAGTTCCAACAATTTAAAAAGTGCTATGAGCTGCTTCCTTATGAGCAGCAGTTAAGTACAAAGTTCCAGTCTGTTGGTTTCAACCTTGCATGCGAAGAATAGGCCTGAAGTACCTGCAACTCTAGTTAAATGTGTAATTCAAAGACAACACCTATCTTCTGAAAGATGACCCACCACTAGAGATGATCTAACATTACATCAGGGTTTTAGATCCTTTCCTATATAGTATATATTATCCTAGAGGTGAGACCACTGGCCTTAGGAAATGAAGCCAAGATCAAAATAGCACTGAGGTTCCACTGACAAAATAACATAGTGAATGAGGAGAAACTACCATTTATAAATGGAATATTGTGCTTGTAAAATGTCCTGTGTTTGGTTTGCAGAGAATATTTTAAACTTTTCTATAAAGATATCTAAACAAATTATCTCTTTTTATCAGGCAAACCTTTACAGTTACCATGTCTGTGGTTTTCCTCAACCTCTTTTCATGAGGCAGGTACCAACTAACAGTGCTATACCGGTATACAAAATTATGTGCCTTTTCAATTGGTCCTCTCTTATGCAAATTCAAGTACAGGAATAAAATTGGCTCACGGATTGTTTGATGCTTTCTTTATAAAAGGAAAAAAATGTGTATGTGCTTTCAACAGAACATCAATAGCTAACTGTTTCTGCAAGAATCAATTTCAAAATGTTAACACTCCCTGTAGTATACAAAGCTGCAGTTTTGTAAATAATGCTGAAGTTTATAGATGGCAACAAAATAAGAACTGGCTATCTTTTAGATTAGTTTATGGCAGTTAAAACTTCTAGTCAACTATCCTTGTATCATATAGTTCATATTTCTTTCTTCCTCTGCAGTTAGCACTATATTACTGCACTTCCAAATTTGTACATCATTTTTGCCCCCTTCAGCCTGAGAAAGAATCTAGTGCTTTGCACCTAAACCTGCTTATTTGGCAGCAAGTCCCACAAATGTTAGTGCAACTTCCTTCCAAGTAATTGTGCTTAGGACCTTGTTATCAGTAACTTTTCTTTAGCTGTGTTCATTTGTGGCATCTGAGTTGCTTTGGGTCAGTTACCACAATAACTTCCTGCTTGCTCAAAGTTTTTTCCATTTGCCAGTGTGCCACAGAATCTCACTTTCGTACAACTTTCTTCTACTTAAGATTTGCTTTGGTTCCAAAGTAAAGTAACATCCATCAACACCCATATGTTGTAGAAGCATGAGAGAATTAATATTCCCTTTGTAAACAGCAAGGTGACATTTTGGAAGCTTTATCTGCTATACTAATAGCAGGAATAGAGCTGTGTTTTGAAGCTTCGCAAAGAGTCATCATGCTGCTTCTCGTCAATCTCTTCACTCATTAATGGATCATGTGGTGAACAGTCACTGGAGAGAGGCAGCTGTGAGACATCATACATGAAGTCATCTTCTGACGCCAGCAGTAGTTCATTCCAGGTAGAGATATCAAGCTTTCCTGCTGTGCCACCATATTCTTCAGGGAGAATTCGTGGTGGAAGGTTGTGATGAAAAGACCTCAAGTCGGACCCATGGAGAAAAAACTGAGAAGAAAGGAACCATTTCAACACATTTCCAATTCAAATTAAATGTATAATATTTTAGAAATAGTGATGCAATTTCCCTTTTAAGTCTAGACAACGGTTCAAAGTTTTTCTCTATACTACAGGTCTAATTGACAGCAACATTTAAGACTAGACTGATATTCTTGAGAATCATAGGATAAAACTGAAACAGTCTCACAATCTTTATTAACATGTAAAGACAAATTTTCTTAAACTATCTCAAACAGTTTTACGTTATATCCTGTTGGATAAGCTTCATTTGGACAAGCTACTGAACTCCATGAATAAGCTTAGATTACTACTGTTTGGATGAAAAGGAAATCAGTTCAGATTTGTACAACTCTCTAGAGAAAACAGGCTTTACAGAAGACCATTTCCAAAAATTGATGCAGCTTAATATTCACATGTATTATTTTCCTTTTAGAATGTCTGCACCTCCTGGATTCTTGCTTAATATACAATGGTGTGTGGACTAACAGACGGGTCATGGTTTCATCCAGTGGTAGCACCGGTGGGACGCTTGGCAGGTGGTGCGGTGCTAGCACCGATGGGATGCTCACCGCTGTGGGGGGTGAGTGCACGCATGTGTGTGCGTGCACTGGCCATCCCTTCACGTGGGGACCCCTATCCTAGAGCCCTCCCTAATATCCTTATAGACACTATATGTTTCATACAGCCATATTGACTACTTACCCGATTTGCTATTTTTTCCTTCAGAAATGGTTTGAGTATAGCAAAAATGCCCTTGAATATGCGAGGTTCATTTATGATATTGACAGCTTTTATTCTAATTGGAAAGCCATCCTAAAAGAAAGACATACCAATAACATTTATAAAGATTAGACTGTTTAAAAATAACTGTATTCGATTTCAAAACAAACCCATTCAGTCTTATTTCGTTTATGTAAAAATAATTTTAACCACTATGCTTCTTACACATTTCCACTATAAATTCTGAATGGGATAGGAACTGCTTGTTTCAAAGAGAAATTCTTGACAGAATATGTGTTTCTCAAGAATAACAAGAGATTTTAGCACGACGCTTTCCTATACAAATAAGGTATTCCTTTCTTAGCGAAGTTACCATACGAGGGGCATTTGTCATGTCAACATAAATATTTTCAAATTTATTATGCCTTAACATTTTATGGATCAGAGTTCACTTCATCTAAAACATGAAATATTACCTTAGTTTGGCAGAAGTGGGCT